ATTCCCAGTTACTTGATTTTCCGATTTCTTTCATTTTATACTCTTTCGTTTTTTCATTTTTGATTTTCCAATTTTACAATTTTCCCAGTTTTTTTGAATAAAAGAAGGAATAGTTATTAGGAAAGGCGTATTATTGTTTTGACGATTTTATTAAAGAAAAGTTTATGTAGCATCCCCGAAAATGTGTATGTCAAAAGAGTATGTCAATTAATTTGTCATTTCTCTTTTATTGTTTATTCTGTGTAGTATGTATATGTATATGTGACTTATGCAAAAAACTTGTACGTTTATATGCATTAATAAATTATTATTATTATTATTATTATTATTTAAAAATCAAAAATGGAAACTCTAAAATACTGAAAAATCTAAAAACTAAATCTAAAAAAAAGAAAAATTTCGAAATTGAAAAAGTGGAAAATCGAAAAACTGCAAATCAAAGAATTGAAGAAACAAAAAATTGAAACATTGGAAAACTAAAAATCGAGAAACTTAAAAATCTCAAGGAATTAATGAATCGAAAAACTGGAAAACCTAAAATCGAAAAGTTATAGGATCGTCAAAACTGTAATAAAAACATTGAAAAATCGAAAAAATAAAATATTGAAAGGAATTGAAAAATCGGAAAAAATCGAAAAATCAAAAAAAAATGGCAAAATCGGAAGAGCAGAAAATCTAAAAATTGCGAAGAAGAACAGAAGAATCGAAGTTTTCATTTTATACTCTTTCATTTTTCATTTTTGATTTTCCAATTTTATGGTTTTACAATTTTGCAATGTTTCTAGATTTTTTGATTCGAAAAGTCGAAAAATTGAAAAATTACAAACGGAAAAACTAAAAAGTTGAAAACACTGAAAAAACGAAAAATTGCAAAATCGAAAAAGTGAAAAAAGAATTGAAGAAACAAAAAATTGAAACATAAGAAAACTAAAAATCGCAAAGAATTAGTGAATCGGAAACTTGGAATGAAGAAAAACCGAATCGAATCGAAAAATTGGAAAACCTAAAATCGAAAATTTAGAGAATCGTCAAGTCGAAAAAAATTGAAAAATCGAAAAAAATTGCAAAATCAAAATGTGGAAAATCAAAAAATTGAAAAGAAGAAAAGACGAAGTTTTCATTTTAAACTTTTTCCTTTTTTCATTTTTGATTTTTAAATTAAATAAAAAGTTGAAAAATTAAAAAATTTCAAATGGAATTGAAAAATATAAAAACTGAAAAAACCAAAAATTGGAAAATCTAAAAGTTATAGACTCATCAAAATTGTAGTCAAAAAAATTGAAAAACCAAAAAATTAAAATATTAAAAGACATTAAAAAATCGAAAAAAAATCGGAAAAATATTGCAAAATCGAAAAAGTGGAACATGGAAAAATAGGAAAGAAGAAAAAAATAATCGAATCGAAAAGTTGAAAAACCTAAAATCAAAAAGTTATAGAATCGTCAAAACTGTAATAAAAAAAAAAAACTTAGAAAATTGGAAAAAAAAAATATCAGAAGAAATTGAAAAGTCGGAAAAAATTGAAAAATCAAAAAAAAAGGCAAAATTCGAAAAGTGGAAAATCGAAAAATTGGGAAGAAGATTTTTCAGTTTTACAATTTTGCAAATTTTCCAGTTTTTTTGATTTTGAAAATTGAAAAATCTAAAAACTGAAAAAATGAAAAATTGCAAAATCGAAAAAGTGCAAAAACAATTGAAGAAACAAAAAATTGAAACATTAGAAAACTAAAAATTGCAAAGAATTAATGAATCGGAAAATTGGAATGAAGAAAAACCGAATCGAATCAAAAATTGGAAAACCTAAAATCGAAAATTTATAGAATCATCAAAACTGCAGTCGAAAAAAATTGAAAAATCGAAAATGTGGAAAATCGAAAAATTGGAAAGAAGAAAAAACGAATCGAAGTTTTCATTTTAAACTCTTCCGTTTTTTCATTTTTGATTTTTAAATTACACAATTTTACAATTTTCCAGATTTTTGATTCGAAAAGTTGAAAAACTAAAAAATTTCAAATGGAAATTAACTAAAATATTGAAAAAACTAAAATCTGAAAAATCTAAAAATTGCAAATGAAAGAATTGAAGAGACAAAAAAATTGAAACATTGGAAAACTAAAAATCGACAGACTTGAAAATCGTAAAGAATTAATGAATAAAAAAAATGGAGTGAAGAAAAACCGAATCCAATCGAAAAATTGGAAAATCTAAAATCGAAAATTGTAGTCGAAAAAAATTGAAAAATCAAAAAATCAAAATATCGGAAGAAATTGAAAAATTGAAAAAAAATCGAAAAAAAATTGCAAAATCGAAACAGTGGAAAATCAAAAAATGGGGAAGATGAAAAGACGAATCGAAGTTTTCATTTTATACTTTTTTGTTTTTTGATTTTTGACTTTTCCAATTTGCAATATTTCCAGTTAGTTGGAAAATTTTAAATTATAAATGGAAAAACTAAAAAATTGGAAAATCTAAGAACTGAAAAAACGAAAAATTGCAAAATCGAAAAAGTGGAAAATTGGAAAACTAAAAATCAAGAATCTTAAAAATCGCAAGGAATTAATGAATTGGAAAATTGGAATGACGAAAAACCGAATCGACTCGAAAAACTGGAAAACCTAAAATCGAAAAGTTATAGAATCGTCAAAAATGTAGTCGAAAAACATTGAAAAATCGAAAAATTAAAATATTGGAAGAAATAAAAAAATCGGAAAAAAATAAAAAATCGAAAAAAATTGCAATATCGACGAAGTGGCAAATTGAAAAATTGGAAAACCTAAAATCGAAAATTTAGAGAATCGTCAAAATTATCGAAAAACATTGAAAAATTAAAAAAATTAGATTATCGGAAGAAATTGAAAAATCGAAAAAATCCAACAAAAAATTACAAAATCAAAAAAGTGGAAAATCGAAAAATTGGAAATAAGAAAAAACAAATCGAAGTTTTCATTTCCATTTTGTACTCCGTCGTTTTTTCATTTTTGATTTTTCAGTTATACAATTTTGCAGTTTTTTTTATTCGAAAAGTTGAAAAATTTTAAAATCAAAAACGGAAAAACTAAAAAATTGGAAAATATAAAAACTGAAAAAACCAAAAATTGCAAAATGAAAAAAGCGGAAAATCGAAATAATGCAAATCAAAGAATGGAAGAAAAAAAAATGGAGACTTTGGAAAACTAAAAATTGAGAAATTTAAAAATCGCAAAGAATTTTATTGAATCGAAAAATTGGAAAATCTAAAATCAAAAAGTTATAAAATCGTCAAAATCTTAGTCGAAAAAAATAGAAAATCGAAAAAAAAATGCAAAATCGAAAAATTAGAAAGAAAAAAAAATTAAAAATTATGTATCAAGAAACTGAAACATCAAAAATCGAAAACTTAAACATCGAAAAATTGAAAATCGAATAAATAAAAAAGAAAAAATCCAGTAATTGAAAAATGGAAAAATTTTAGAATCATAAAATTAAAAAATTGAAAATTTTTAGTACATAATTATTATTACATATTTAAAATGAAAACTAGAAAAGCCATAGATCAAAAATTGAAGAAATCAAAAATTGAAAAATCCAGAAACTGAAAAAACGAAAAATTAAAAAAATTAGAATTGAAAAACGAAAAACTGAAAACCGAAATATTGCAAAGTGTAAAAATTGAAAACTCCAGAAATTAAAATATCAGAAGAAATAGAAAAAATCGAAAAAAATAGCAAAATCGAATAAATGAACAAGTTTTAAAATCCAATAACAAAAAAATGGAAAAATTTTAGAATCATAAAACTGAACAAGTGAAAATTTTAAAAAACTAATTATTATTACATATTTAAAACAAATGAAAACTAGAAAAATTGCAAATGGAAAATGGAAAAATCTAAAATTGAAAAAAAGAAAAATTAAAAAATCTTCAATTGGAAAATCGAATAATTGGAAATCAAAGAATTGAACAATCCAGAAATTGAAAAAATTTGAGATTGAGAAAAAAAAACTGAAAACCAAAAATTGAAAAAATAAATTAATTAAAAAGTCGAATCGAAAAAAAAGACGAAAACCAAAAATTGGAAAACCCAAAAATTAAAAATTTCAAAAAAATAAAAAAAATTAATAATTTCACTTTGAATAAAAAGGAAAATTCTAAAATCAAACACTGAAACGCGAAAAATTGAAGAAATGAGAAATTGAAAAATCGGAAAATTGCAAAATGTGAAAACAGAAAACTCAACAAAAAAAATGACGATTTGAAAAATGTAAGTCTAAAAAGTTGCGGACGTGTTATTTGCGCCACCAGAGTTAAAAATTTTAAATATAATATTTTCCACTATAAAAATATTGTGATAGTGAAAATTGTGTCTCCAATAAAGGTATTTAGGTATTTTTAAAAAATTGGAACATACTCAAATCTCACTGCAACTGCGGTCAACTGCCTTTTCCAGCTTTCTTTGTAATACACAAAACCACCGCGAGCAGAACTGGAAAAAATCGCCACCCCAGCCAACACCGTTTACCCTTCAAACCCCATCACCCCCCCCCCCCCATTGGCAATATTTTCCGAAATCTGACTACCCATAATGAGCCTAGCGCGCATTTCAAGTATCTGAATAATTCATCGGCCCGATTGTCGTCCCAGTGACTCAGAAAAAAGTAATCGCTGCTCGGGCATCTCATAAATATTAAAGTCAGCCTTTAAAAAAAAAGAGCTCAATAATTAATTCGTGCCCCGTGTACTTTTTTAATGCTCATGCTCATAAAGCGAACCCTTTCGGGCGCCGCATCAAGATATTAATAAAAAAACAGGGCACAAGAGCGGGCAAAGAACTCGCGTCCTCGACGGCGCTTGTTTCGTTTGATTCCCGGAATGCCCTCGTGATTTATTATGCGGGAAAAAGCGCCTACAAAAAGTGTCCTGCGCGCGTTCCCGGAATGAATTTAAGGGTCCCGGCGGTCTCTTAGGTGCGAGGGACTTTCTTGCGTTGCAATGATGAATGACTTGACAAAAATGTGTTGTGCAGGCGGTGGCTGGGGCCAGACCGAGGAGGCGGTGGCAGCAGAACAGGATGTCGAGGAGTTTCCCTCCGGACGTCCCGTATAGCACGACCAGCATAGACGAGGAGACGTTTTTTCAGAAGCCGATGGCTCCGACGTCGCCCAGGCCGCAGGAAGAAGGTAACGTGTGATTGGGTTAAGTTGGAGCATTGTTTAAGTATATTATAGTTGGACAACCTAATACAAATTTTACTTCGCCTAAATAGTGAGCTTTAGGACAAGGAATCCAGGGGGCGTGGGACAAATTTTTCGTCAACGCACATTTTCACTACAGTGAGCCAACGTATTAGGTTTATTTTACTCTACATCAGGTGGCGCCATCAAACATTAGCAAAGGCAAACACCCTTCACTCTGCTCTTATACGAGGAGTTATCCATAAATCCATAATTAACATTGTTCCGTAAACAGTAATGTGTATAAACATATACGTACAAAATCTGAAAGTATGCTTGACAAAAAATATGAAGCAACGCGTTGTAACGTGATACGAAAGAATTGAATTTAACTCCTATTTTTATTTGACTATATCTGAAGACTGACAGAAACTTTCCAAGGGTTTTTAAACTGGTATAATTGTTTAGTTTTACAAGATTAAAGTAAAACAAGATTTTAAGTAAAATGTAGATTCGTGGTTTTACAAAAATATTAACACAAAATGAAAATATATGTTCAAAGTAAATAACAGAATGACATAAACTTTCGGCGTTAACATTACAAATAATTACAAGAGAGAAAAAAACGCATTAAGAACTTTAGAGGCATGTTTGTAATATTGAGTTGTTAAAGCCTGCTTTGAAGACTGTTTGTTTCTATGAAAAACAATTGCTGTTATCCGACATTTTGGTAGATTTTGTTCAAAAAATACGAGATAACTAATTGTTTCTTGAACTAGTTTCCGTAACTTCTAAAATTTAAAAAGGATACGCCGTTCTGCTGTAATAAAATCTAGAATAAGGTCAAAATCACACTAATATTACATCTGATTTTGTTAACCACATGAATATAATTTACATTAAAATAAGTTACGGACATTGTTTGAAATGTTTATTATAGTTCGAAAACAAGATAAAATAAATAAATAAATAAATAAAATGTGCAGTTTATAAACTTCAGAATTTTAGTAAAAAAATATAATCATGTTTGAAGCTTTATTTTGTCTGTTCGATTTTATTGGGTGTATTGGGCCCCTCTCGGGATATAACATCGACATGAGTGCACCGACCCAACGTTCTTCAACCGATGGGATGATTTATTACTTCCGTTATGCTGGCCCTACACACAGCGATTTGGTTTTCAGATTTTCGGCTAGATCTGCACAGTGACATAGAGTATTTTGTTCACGCGAGCATCAAAAATATTACCCCGAAAGCACTTCTTCAAGTGTTATTTTTTTTAAGATGTCATATTTGTCAGCGTTTCCAAAATTTTCTTCTCTTCAACTAATTTTTCGTAAACCGCATTTTAAAATTTTTGTTATTGTATTTTTTACTTTTTAATTTTCTAAGGCATGAAAAAATCCCATATAGGTTTCTATGAATTTATTAACGAAATCAACTGATAACTTGCGCGCCATTTTGTGTCAATTCTTCGCGAACGACAGCAAACAATTTAAAATTACCGCTAGTCAAGCATCTAAAAATCCATCTCTCCCAAATATGTCTTTCTTGGCACGATTTGTAATCCGAAGTCTCCCTCCACATGCAATTTTTCGTCACCTGAGAACTTGTTTGATCTACAGACCAAAGCACCCTCAGGCCAATATCGGCTTTAAGCGATTTATCTATAAACCGATATTCGTTAGAGTTGATCTAATACACATCCACTACGAAGACCTACCCATTTCGACCATTGGACTTTACAACGAATAAGTGAACAAAGTTCTTGAACATCTTAACAATTTAATACATAATGTTCCCGAATGACAAAATTTACATTTCAAATTGTATTATCAAATTACACTCTCCAAAATTTGTCAAATTTTACAATAGTAAAATTGTAGTTTCGCCCCGTTTACGGTTTATGCATCCGTGTCGAGTTTTCAGCTTAGACTCAAGATTTTTGGAAAAAAAATCAACATTTTCCAATTTATAATGTTATTTAAATTTTAAAAAGTAGAATAGTCGTGATCTTGTGATTTATACCTAAATACGCTATTGGGATTTTTCGTCTTGTCGATTTCTTGATTTTTCAACTTTAAATGTCTCAATTTTTCAATATTTCAATTTTGGGCTTTTCCGATTCCTCCATTGTTTAAATTTTCTATTTCTTAATTTTTTTATTTTTCGATTTCTCAATCTTTCGATGTTTCAATGATACGATTTCTCAATTTTTGTCCTCTTCAATTTTACGGTTTTTAAATATTTCGATTTTTCAATTTTTCAAATTTTCACGTTTCTAAATTTTCAGTTTGCCGATTTCTAAAGTATTTTTTTTTATTTGTCCATTTCTGGACTTCCTAAAGTTTAGATTTTTCACATCTTCAATTCTTCAATTTTTCAATTTTTTAAGATTACGATTTTTCAATTTTGCTTTTTTAGATTTTCGATTTCTCAGTTTTCCAATTTTTTAATTTCTCAATTTTTTGAATATTTCTTTCAGTTATGAGATTTTTCAATATTTCAATTTTTCGACTTTTCGATTTTTGAATTGACGGATTTTTTTGATTTCTTGATTTTTTACTTTTTGGATTTTCAATTTATTGTAAACTTTAGATTTTTCAATTCTGCGACTGTTTAATGCTTCGATTTCACAATTTTTAAACTTTTCGATGTTTTAATATTTCATTTTTTTAAATTCTAGGTTTTTCGATATCTCGAGTTTTCAGTTCTTCTATATTTCAATTTTTCAATTTTTCGATTTTTTTAATTTTAATTTTCGATTTTCCAGTTTTTCTTTTCTAAAATTTTTCGATTATTCAATTTTTTATTTTCTCAATTTATCGAATTCAGATGTTTCGTTGTTTTGATTGTTCAATTTCTCAATTTTTCAATTTTTAACTTTCCTTTTCGGCTTCCGACTCCTCAATTTCTCGATCCTCCGATTTTTCGATTTCTCGAAGTCTCAGTTTTTGAATTTTTCGATGTTTCGATTTTTGGGTTTTTCGGTTTTTCGATTTTTTTCTTTTGAGCTTTTCAATTTCTGGATTTTCCAATTTTTCAATGTCCCGATTTTTCAATTTTTCAGTTTTTCAAATTTTTGGTTTAAATTTTCAGTTTTCTGATTTCTCAGTTAATCTATTTTTGATTTTCCCACTTCTCAAAGTTTCGATTTTTCAGTTCTTCAATTCTTCGATTTTTCGACTTCGCTTTATTGGTTTGTCGATTTCTCAATTTTTTGATATTTCTTTCAGTTTTGATATTTTTCAATACTTCGATTCTTTCAGTTTTCGACTTCAAGATTTTTCTATTTTTTATTTTTGGATTTTCAGTTTTTTGTTTTTTATTCGGATGTTTCGATGTTTTGATTATTCAATCTCTCGCTTTATCAATTTTTCCATATTAAAGTTTTCGATTTTTCGATTTTGGCCCATTTCGGTTTCTCAATTTTTTGATTTTTCGACTTCTCGATTTTTCGACTCCTCGATTTTTTTGTCTTTTGATTTTTCGATTTCTCGATGTCTCAATTTTTGAATTTTACAATGTTTCGATTTTTCGATTTGTTGGTTTTTCGATTTTTTGCTTTTCGATTTCTCAATCTTTCGATGTTTCAATGATACGATTTCTCAATTTTTGTCCTCTTCAATTTTACGGTTTTTAAATATTTCGATTTTTCAATTTTTCAAATTTTCACGTTTCTAAATTTTCAGTTTGCCGATTTCTAAAGTATTTTTTTTTATTTGTCCATTTCTGGACTTCTGGATTCTGGATTCTTAATTTATGGGGGCTGACCGTAGCCAGCCGGCACTTAGGCCTCGCCTTTGGGCCCATTGTACCTTCCCCAAGTCCATATCAGGGTGTTTTCCCGCTCCTCTACTCGTCAAGCCATCCAACTGCTTGAATGTACTTGAGTAATGCAGAGGGTGGAAACTCCCTGATATTTGCCATACTAGGCCAGATGTCCCCTAGTATGGATTCCCTGTAGGAGGCTAGGGCTGGACACTCACGAAGAATGTGCTCAGCTGTTTCCTCTTCTTCATTGCATCCACGACAGATTGGGTCTGTTGCTACCCCTATCGTATGTAGATGTTTGTTAAACTGGTAATGTCCCGTAAGGAATCCTACCAGTTTACGCAGTTTGTCCCTTGAAAGTGAGAGATAAAATTTTGTCAACTTACGGTCTGGTGTCGCCATACAAGCTCTACTATGCCGACAGCTGCTCAACGTCGCCCATATCTGCTCATGGCGTCTATGGGTATATTGCTTTACGAGTTCGTTCGAGAGGGCGACCGAAGGCGTGATTGCCGGTTCGGGTCCCCAGAAGGGCATACGCGCGGCTCGCTTCGCCATCTCATCTGCCCTCTCGTTTCCTTCGTTGCCACTGTGTCCTTTGATCCAACAAAGTACCACACTATTCCTCTGCGTTACATACTTTAGCGTTTGTCTGCACTCCCAAACCAGCCCGGATCGAACCATACAGCTGTCCAGGGCTAGTAGTGCAGACTTGCTGTCAGTAAGTATGCGTATTGATTTGTTGCCGATTTCACGTTCAGCAATGATTCTAGCTCCCAGCATTATTCCCATCAATTCTGTTTGTAAGACAGACGTGTGGGTGCCGAGAGGTACACTGATTTGTGCGTTCAGTTGTTCGGAGTAGATGCCGGCTCCTGAACCACTATCTGTTTTGGCACCATCGACATAGATATCTATGTCGGCTCGTCCTTCTGAATTATCACTCATTGATATTCTATATGTCTTCTCATATATTAATTTTGTGCCCATTCGGTCACAACCCATCCTCAACAAGGGTATTCTGTTGAACGCCTCCGTTAAGATCCGAGTGTGCTTCGTTGTGCGGCCTTGCTTGTTCCATACTCCCAGAGAGTGAAGTCTTAGAGACGTCGTCATTGCCGCTTCCTCTATGTAAAGGTTGAGAGGTGCTAAGCAAAGAAGAGTCTCCAGAGCCGCTGTGGGAGTGGTCCTCATTGCTCCTGTAACACTGAGACACGCCATTCTCTGAACGT